GGGTAGAAATGCCCTAAGAACGTTTTCAAATGCATTTTATTATCTCAATTAACTTACTTGAACTTGATTTAACTTCCTATGTAATTATAAGTGCACTCAAGAAATGAAGGGTCTCCCATCCTGGAAAAGATGACATAGTTCACAACACAGTGAGAGAACTGCCTCACCTGCCCACCACAGTCACCTGCTGCAACTATTTAGTCAATTAAGCAAAGGTTGCAGTAGTGTCCTGCCACACCGCTGCGCACAGGGAACCATAACACATATACCCAACACAAATTTACTACAACTCGGCTCCATTTCTCTGACATCTCGTATGTGTAAGGTTCTTGGGGAGATTGTCCCGCCAACTTGAACCACCTTCCCTCACCCTCAGCCTGTAAGACATTCTTCCCCTGGAGAAGCTTCCAAACTTGCTTTGTTGAATATTTCAAGGCGCTGGGACACACCTCTCGTGCGGAATTTATTGATCTCCAATTCTCTTTTGACAGAGCAAATGTAATTCTAATATCAGAACTGCTAGTCTTTGTTGGCGTCAAGAGACGGCTGTTCAGTGAGCACCAAAACCGACTTACTTCTCTTCATAGAAGTCAAAGTCCTATTTTTTTGCCTACTTTGAACCGAATACAAACACATCAAGTTGGGGTGCTTAGCCCCACACTTTTCACTGTTTTCATACGTAATTTATTTATGTGCTTAAGCTGTAAATGCACAAACTCTACTGCAAGCGCTACTAGATTGTCTTGCTAAGAAAAGGGGTCAATATGGCCTCATAATCTCTATCATGATATCCCAAACTCTCCACATTACAAGAGACTAATAACATTTCCGCTCTCAGAGTCAACAGTCACAACACTATAACTTGGGAACAACACAAACACCTCAACAGTGTCACTGTAAACCACCTACAACACACACTAAAAGAAAGACTTTTAGTCTGTGTTGTAAGTCACAGATTGAAATATTGGAAATATTTCAGTGTGAAAATACTTGCTTAGAAGAAATATTCAAATCCATGTTAAATATGCCAGTCAATCTTCCTCGTTTGCTAGGACGCTGGCTGATTACCACGTCCTGTACTTAATTAACATTCCTACGACTACTTTTAACAAGCCTGTAAACAAAGTAGAGCCATCAGGGTGATGTGTGGTGCCACAAGATGCACAAGAATCATTAACGTAAGAGGACGAACTGAAGCTGTCATCATTCTAGAGAGAATGATGCAGACGTCTTAAAAAGACTTGTTACGTCAAGGTCAAGAGAAGTCTGATATCTCCAGCACTGGTCGGAAGTATATTATTCCGAGTCTTATATTGACCAGCGAGTGTTGCTAACACCCAACACACTCTTTGTATGGTATAGATAAAGCTCAAGTTGAGCTAGACCTAGGTACTCCCATCTCAGTTGTCAAAACAATATTGCTCTATGTCTCTATGTTTTCTGGTGTGATATATTAGAAATATAATTTCTTAAACCAAAAATCGTCAGTGTAAAATATTATGATCTGTTTTGATCTTACCTCCCTCTCTCTCTCTCTCTCTCTCTCTCTCTCTCTCTCTCTCTCTCTCTCTCTCTCTCTCTCTCTCTCTCTCTCTCTCTCTCTCCACACACACACACACACACTCATTTTATATATATATATATATATATATATATATATATATATATATATATATATATATATATATATATATATATATATATATATATATACTTATGACCGCTGCGGCTCCGTCGCTGCTGCCATATAAGACCAGGAGCCACCTTGGGTCCTCTAATATCAGTCACAGCCCCGCTCCTGTGCCAGGTAAGTCCACTACGGGCTCACCATAGCCCGTGCTACTTGCAACGTTTAGTTCCCAGTAGCTGAATCTTAAACCACAACAACATTGAGTCCTCACAGCGATGAGAGACTAGCAATTCAAGGCTAGTTTTCCTCCACGCTGCCTACTGTTGTGTCGGGGTTGTTACAACACAGGTTGTATGTTACAACACAGGTTGTATGTTACAACACAGGTTGTATGTTACAACACACAACACGGGCAGGTAACACAGAGGTAGCCAGGAAGAAATAACGGGTTATTGTTTCTCGTGACTTATTTCAGGCTTGATAGAGGAGGAGGGATTTGTCAGGGAAAAGCGCCAAGCCATTAAGACTATTTAGCACTGGAAGAGGTCAGGATAAGGATTTGGGATGGGGGGGGGGAGGAAAGGATGGTGTCCAATCACTTGGACAGTCGGGGGATTGAACGCCGACCTGCATGAAGCGAGACCGTCGCTCTACCGTCCAGCCCAAATAGTTGAGCAGCGGCCCAAAACACAGCGAGAGCCTTCACAGCGCCACGCCACAAGTACTCCATAGGTGCAAGTGAATGGAATGTTATTTCCGCGTTTATTGTGGTTTGCAATTGATATGACTGGCTCATATCAATTGCAACACCTCACTTAATACCTCCAGACTCAGGTGGTACCCCAGGGAGAGGTTGGAGGTCCCGCCTGGGTGCCTCTTGTGGGCCTCTGGGACCCTCTCTTACAGTACCTAAACTCACCGTTCACTGTGGCTATTTGCGGCATTAATGTGATCATTGTTATTGATCATTCTGTGCATGTATATTTATATTTACATATTTATATGTTAGGTCAGTGTGGGGAGGAGAAGTGTAGTAGACGTGTCAGTGTGGGAAGGAGAAGTGTAGTAGACGTGTCAGTGTGGGAAGGAGAAGTGTAGTAGACGTGTCAGTGTGGGAAGGAGAAGTGTAGTAGATGTGTCAGTGTGGGGAGGAGAAGTGTAGTAGGGGGTAGTGTTGAGAATACAAAGAGCTGAGACAAGGCCACAAAGAGCTGAGTGAAATCAACAAATGGAACCTCAGGTGCTGGAGTATAATCCTCTCTGATGGCACTAGTGTCTCAGGCACCCCACAGCCAGCAGACAATCTTGCATCCGGCAAAAAAAGGAGAAGCAACAGCACCAGGGGCAGGAACAGTAGCATCCTTGGGAGCAGCAGCAGCGGGAGCACCAGTAACACCAGTTGCAGAAACAGCAGCAACCAGAGAAGCAACATCTGTAGCATAAACCCCCATCAGCATATGCAACAAAAGGAGGAGCAGTAGAAGGTGGAGCAGTAGCAGGAACAGCTTGAGACAGCGACCAGCGGTGTCTGAGCGAGCCTCGGGTCCTCCTCGGAGCTGGGCGTATAATCCCCAGTGATGCCACTAACGAGCCACACAGCACAACCAGGGACCCGATACCCTCTGGAGGTCCCCATTTTTCCTTCACGAGTCGTCTTCACCCGGAGGTCAATACCACGTTCTCTTAGTTATCACACACAGAGATCACACTAACGTGATGCATCAAATGAACAAATCCACAAGGGCCGTGACGAGGATTCGAACCTGCGTCCGGGAGCATCCCAGACACTGCCTTAATCGACTGAGCTACGACAGGGTATCTTAGTTATCCTCGCGAAGGTCAACGCGATATATTCCTCCGCCAACTGTGCATCAGTCAACGCCGCGTTTTATTTCCTTTAGTCAACATTAAAGCCTTCAACGCCAAGCATTTTTCCCGCCGCGAGTCGCGCATCCTGTTATTGCCCTGTCGTGCATTTCTCAACTTGCGTGACAGTCCTGAAATTGCTAATGGCCCGACTGGTTTACAGCTGTTCTCGTTTGTGCTGAAACCAATTATTTACATGCGAATAACTCGGCAAAATACCTGTTATTATATCTCCGGTTATAAAGGTATTTTATTGTTTTTATATTGAATTACTGCGACGAGGGTCACCGTGTACAGCCAGTTTATGTAATTATACCCAATGGCTGAATAGTAATGACGACGGTTGAGGGAATGTGGTTGGTAGTTGATATGTGGTTGGTAATGTGGTTGGTAGTTGATATGTGGTGGGTAATGTCGTTGGTAGTTGATATGTGGTGGGTAATGTCTCAGGTTGATTGTTATAGTTGTTCTTGCTGGTGGAATGGTGGTGATTGTTGTTGTCTGCAATGGTCGTTATGATCTTCAGAGGTAATTAAGGAACTAGGGGTGGTGCCTACAGTCACATCTTCACTACACGCGCCCCCCCCATCATAACACCCTGACACAGCCGACTGGGTCTCCCCATTGGTCCCTCCCAGTGTCTGAGAATTATGGGTTATGAGACACACACAGAGACCACACTAACGTGATACATCAAATGGAACAAATCCACAAGGGCCGTGACGAGGATTCGAACCTGCGTCCGGGAGCATCCCAGACACTGCCTTAATCGACTGAGCTACGACAGGGTAAAAGGGTTGAAACCGAAGTTCTACTGAACTTCAGTGCAGTGTCTGCAAGGCAGTGTCTGGGATGCTCCCGGACGCAGGTTCGAATCCTCGTCACGGCTCTTGTGGATTTGTTCATGGGTTATGAGAGCCTTACCCTCGAGGCCCCCAGGGATTAGGTGGATTAACGAGCATTTGGCCTTCACTGATGAGGACGGGCTGTATACCCGTAGCTCCGAGGAGCACCAGTTGTGCACCATTTTCCCCTCCTCTCACCTGTGTTCCGCCTCAGGTAATGTAGATTGTTGCCGCCGGAGGCAGCTAGCTTATTGTGCACCCCATACCCATCCTGTGAGCGGTAGCGCAAAAAAACATTACAGAGGGCACAAAAGGTCTTTAACAGCCCTCATCTTAGATTATTACATAATTTCATCTATCCTTTACACCTTATAGTTACAATGTCAGCGCCGTCCTCTGATGAAGCACAAAGGTGTTTGGTGTAGAGTTGCGGGGTCCTGGCTCTTGTTGGAGCGACTGTATGGGGGTGGTTGGGTGGTTGTTGCTTTAGAGGGTAGTTAGGGGTCCTAGCTGGTAGGTATTGCCACCCCTGCCACTCCCCCTAGCAGGGGTGGTGGCAGAGGTGGAGCCGTGCGTGTATTGGGGTCATAAGAGTGGTATACAGACCCAAGTCTTCCTGTTGGACACCAAGTAAGACACCAAGTCTTGCAGCTGGTGATATGGGAGACATTACAAGTCTTACAGCTGATGATATAGGAGACATTACAAGTCTTACAGCTGGTGACATGGGAGACATTACAAGTCTTACAGCTGGTGACATGGGAGACATTACAAGTCTTACAGCTGGTGACATGAGAGACATTACAAGTCTTACAGCTGATGACATAGGAGACATTACAAGTCTGACAGCTGGTGATATGGGAGACATTACAAGTCTTACAGCTGGTGACATGGGAGACATTACAAGTCTTACAGCTGGTGATATGGGAGACATTACAAGTCTTACAGCTGGTGATATGGGAGACATTACACGTCTTACAGCTGGTGATATGGGAGACATTACAAGTCTTACAGCTGGTGATATGGGAGACATTACAAGTCTTACAGCTGGTGATATGGGAGACATTACACGTCTTACAGCTGGTGATATGGGAGACATTACAAGTCTTACAGCTGGTGACATGGGAGACATTACAAGTTTTACAGCTGGTGATATGGCAGACATTACAAGTCTTACAGCTGGTGACATGGGAGACATTACAAGTCTTACAACTAGACAGTCAGGCGACGTCTTGTGTAATCTTACAGGAGATTACCAAGGGGTTTGTGCAGTCTATTTTTAAAGGTAAATACTTCATTGCTCTTAATTACTTCTCTGGCTAAGCTGTTCCGTGCTTCCAACCAGATTAAAGAAAAAGCATTTTGCTTCGTCGGACTGAACTTATTTGGCAATAAAATGCAACGAAATGTTGCACGTTAAGTGTTAAAGTGGTTAGCACGCTCGCCTCTCCAGCGAGTGGACCTGGGATCGAACCCTGGGCAGAGAGGGATCACTAGCCACCGCTCCCTAACTCCATACGCCATTATCTTCAAATAGTAATGCAAATTGCCGGCTGCTTCTATCAGAAACTTCTATTAAATCGCCTTTAATTCAAGACTATTGTTATTGTGTTTATTTATTATGGGTCATATATCCATCCCGTGGGCGGTAGTGGGCCCCATACCCATCCCGTGGGCGGTAGTGGGCCCCATACCCATCCCGTGGGCGGTAGTGGGCCCCATACCCATCCCGTGGGCGGTAGTGGACCCCATACCCATCCCGTGGGCGGTAGTGGACCCCCATACCCATCCCGTGGGCGGTAGTGGACCCCATACCCATCCCGTGGGCGGTAGTGGACCCCATACCCATCCCGTGGGCGGTAGTGGGCCCCATACCCATCCCGTGGGAGGTAGTGGACCCCATACCCATCCCGTGGGCGGTAGTGGACCCCCATACCCATCCCGTGGGCGGTAGTGGACCCCATACCCATCCCGTGGGCGGTAGTGGGCCCCATACCCATCCCGTGGGCGGTAGTGGGCCCCATACCCATCCCGTGGGCGGTAGTGGACCCCATACCCATCCCGTGGGCGGTAGTGGACCCCATACCCATCCCGTGGGCGGTAGTGGGCCCCATACCCATCCCGTGGGCGGTAGTGGACCCCATACCCATCCCGTGGGCGGTAGTGGACCCCCATACCCATCCCGTGGGCGGTAGTGGACCCCATACCCATCCCGTGGGCGGTAGTGGGCCCCATACCCATCCCGTGGGCGGTAGTGGACCCCATACCCATCCCGTGGGCGGTAGAGGGTATCCTGAGCCTACATAATAGGCTCAGGAACAAAACTGCAAAATTAATTTATTTACGCAAATTACAATGACCGAATACATTTCGGTTCTTTAAATAGGTTTCAAATTCTATTGTTGTTTTTTGAGGTCCAGTCAAAAGATTGAGAGGCCAACAGAAGGTCAACAGACAAAATAACAGGACTGCGAAAGCTATACGCTTTCTGCTATATCAGTGAAAATTTCGCAAAGTCACTGCGCTTATCAATGAGATTAATGACCAATTTTTATCTTAGGAGCTGAGCTTTAATTCTTAAAATCAAGACAATCCCCCAACACGTTCATTTGAACTTCCCCTTGTTAGAGAAACTTTTGTGTGTGGGAATCACCTTCAAAGAAAGTTTTTAAGGAGTTACAGCTGAAAGTATTCTTAAAAAATAACACAAGAGCTCGTTTTCTATTGCCGTAGAGGAAAATTTTCGGCTGTGAATAGTTTTGGGTCATATTAATCCTGTATAATGATGGGTCATATTAATCCTGTACAATGATGGGTCATATTAATCCTGTACAGTGGTGGGTCATATTAATCCTGTACAATGATGGGTCATATTAATCCTGTACAGTGGTGGGTCATATTAATCCTGTACAATGATGGGTCATATTAATCCTGTACAATGATGGGTCATATTAATCCTGTATAACGGTGGGTCATATTAGTCCTGTACAATGATGGGTCATATTAATCCTGTACAATGATGGGTCATATTAATCCTGTATAACGGTGGGTCATATTAATCCTGTACAATGATAGGTCATATTAATCCTGTATAACGGTTGGTAATGTAATCACAGAATATTTATATATTACAGAAACTTTGAATAATATTACTTATTTTAATCTTGGAATATGGCCCCACAACACGGCCTTCCCCCCCCCCAGCAACACCCCATCACAACAACACCCCCCCCCCCCACAACACCACCTCCTCAACCCACTACTCTCCCGAAAGTAAACTATCTTACACACCTCTGAGAGGTTTACAACCTTACCACCCCACTACTCTCCTTCACGGTCGCCCAAGTGCGCTCTGGACCCCTCACAGGAGCACTGAATTCCATTTCCCGGTAAAGAAACACTAAGATTTTTGGCATTAAATTGTACCTGATAAACATTATTGGCCAACTTGTGTTTATAAGAGCGAGGTGTGAGCTACAGTGTTCATTTGTATGCTAATGTCGCCGGCTGGAAGACACTGTGGCAACCTCCACAATCTTGGGGAAAAAATGTTGCTCATCTTATTGGCCAAGGTGAGGACACTAGCTCCTGCCTCCTGCTGCAGTATTCGAGGAGCCAAACGCTTGGGAAAGAAATGTGGTTTTGCAGGTGATGAGATATTTGACGTCCTGGTCGAATTTGTTGTGATTTTGTCTCTTAACAAACATAACCAGGCTGTTAGTGTGAACAAGTGTTGGTGATCAGCCACAAGTGTTGATTAGTCAATCAGAGGCACACGGGTGATACAAGTCATCTGTCCTTCTCCTCCTTGAGAAAATCCACAGAAGCCGTGATGAGGATTCGAACCTATGCGGTGGGTGTTCCCAGACGCACGCTCTAGACAACTACGCCACGACATGGTCAAAACAATTGCAACCTAGGGTACTACAAGACTCAAACTCAAAGCCTTGCATAATACTTGGTGCGGCCTGCCAGGCAGTGTTGTCGAGCAACACTGCCTGGCTCAAAGCCTTGCATAATACTTGGTGCGGCCTGCCAGGCAGTGTTGTCGAGCAACACTGCCTGGCAGGCCGCCCCAAGGCTCTGAATCTGACCAAACACAGCAAGAGAGGTATTACCGCTGTACCAAACTTCAAAGGGATAAGCCTTCAGCCTTACCTCAGTCTTGCTAAATATGTACGGCGCTGCGGGACAACTCTGCTCTCAGACCAAACCCATTATTGACAGAGAACTTACAAGTACTCCTGGGAGATCTGTGGCGTCATATTCTGTAGTAACCACAGAATTTACGGACTCCGAGGCGCTACGAGGTCTTAACAATAATTATAAGTTGTGCACGAAGTAAGAGGTACAGACCTCGCAAGTGAACTCTGTGAATACTGATTTAGGTTGAAAAGCTGAGTAACAGCATATTATATTATGCGATGTGGTGGCCGCCAGTATTTCAGTCACGGATTAAAATTCAGTGGAAAATCTAATTCGTTTGTCACTAACACACACAGAGATCACAATAACGTGATGCATCAAATGAACAAATCCACAAGGGATGCTCCCGGACGCAGGTTCGAATCCTCGTCACGGCCCTTGTGGATTTGTTCGTTTGTCACTAAATAAACTAGGATAAGTGTGAGTTCTAGTCGCTAGCTGCAATCAGAGTTCTAGCTATTTATGGGTAGTAGAACTGTGCATTGTAGGCGATCATTGCTAGCAGAAGTGAGTGTCCTAGTTGTTTATCGCTGGTACGACAATCACTAATTGTCACACCAACCAAATTTTTTTTTAAATTTACGGCGTTGAAATCGCCTTTGTGTAAACAGTGAACAGTGATGACAAACTCAGGATTTAGGTGGTGGAGGCATAGCTTGAGGGTGTGTAGATTAGCTTGAGAGTGTGTAGATTAGCTTGAGAGTGTGTAGATTAGCTTGAGAGTGTGTAGATTAGCTTGAGGGGTGTGTAGATTAGTTTGAGGGGTGTGTAGATTAGCTTGAGAGTGTGTAGATTAGCTTGAGGGGTGTGTGTGTAGATTAGCTTCAGATTGTGCAGATTAGCTTGAGGGGTGTGTGTGTAGATTAGCTTGAGAGCATGCAGTGAAGATTAGCTTGAGAGTGTGTCTTGAGAGTGTGTAGATTAGCTTTTAGGATGTGTAGATTAGCTTGAGTGCACGCAGTGAAGTCATGGCTTCGAATAACATAGATGAAACTTTCCTTGACCGAGCTCTGGTCATCTAGTCAAAAAACACACGTATAATTTAATTAACTTGAACCATCAGGGACACACACACCTTTTATACCATCAAAGAAAAGAGAATAATATTTTGTCATTTGGTTCACCATTAAATTCATTGACACTCTTGTCCTCCGAGAACATTAATTAATTTATCGTGACTCCTAGGAGACCTGCTAGTAATTAATATTTTGTTTGACTCAATGGTCTGGAGGCCTGGTCGACGACCGGGCCGCGGGGACACTAAGCCCCGGAAGCACCTCAAGGTATGGTCCTGATATATTCTACAAGAGGTGGAGGACAGGAGATAATCAGCTCTACTGAGTTCATATATATATATATATATATATATATATATATATATATATATATATATATATATATATATATATATATATATATGCCATTAATAGGGGTTCGAATCGTTCCAGTTCCGTACTTCTGAAAGTATTGCTTGATCTTCGTTATGCTAACTAAGCATTGTTCATTTATGACAGCTAGTAATGACAGCTAGTAATGACAGCTAGTAATGACAGCTAGTTATGACAGCTAGTTATGACAGCTAGTTATGACAGCTAGTTATGACAGCTAGTTATGACAGCTAGTAATGACAGCTAGTAATGGCAGCTAGTTATGACAGCTAGTTATGACAGCTAGTTATGACAGCTAGTAATGACAGCTAGTTATGACAGCTAGTAATAACACCTAGCTATGATAGCTAGTTATGACAGCTAGTAACGACAGCTAGTAACAACAGCTAATAACGACAGCTAGTAACAACAGCTAATAACGACAGCTAGTGCCCCTTACGTTTCCGTACTTCGGCGTTTCCTATGGACGTTTCTGTTAGCATTCCCCCGGATCTCCAGAGTGGCACTAAAGAGTGAAGATGACCATGGCACACCTGGAGTGTCGGGTTGGGTTCAGCCCTTCACCACCACTCGTGCGCTTAAACATCGACCTTGAACAAAGGTCGTTGAAATACAAATTGAATTGAAAATACAAAGCAATTAACCTCATTGGAGTTCCAGGCTACCTGACCCTCGATAGTTCCTCCCTA